CTGAAGGATGACAACCAGGCCTGGAGACAAGTGTGATGACCAGTGAAGAGGGGGGACTATGCTAACATCCCTCTCTTCCTAACACTTAATTCCTAAGTGGTGTCAGTTTCACTGGAGGCCCCATCGCACTGCTTAGTCACTTGACATAGTCACTGTGGTGACAAGATGAGTCACCCCCATTCCACACTTATGTAATGACTTTAGAAACCCCATGTAGGATTTCATATTTGCCTACATCAAATTCAGAGCACCTCAAAGGTACAGGAAGGAAATTATCTATAGGGAAGATGCATCAAAGAAACTTTTGCATACAACTTTCAAAGGCTTGCTTATTCAATCACATCGGCCCTTCTAATCTGCAGTGTAGAATGGGAAACAGCCTTTTAGCTGAACGCTTCAGACAGTAATTTGGAGCACTTTGACCCTGACTGAAAAAAAACTCCACAAACATTTATCATCATATACGATAATTTTCTGTTAATCACTTAAGCATTATTCTGGCTCTTTCTTCACTTGATAAGAATAGCTTGCACAAGTAGAATTTTATTTTTCACCTTTTAGATATATGTATTTAGTAACTAGTGACATATTAATACTAAAATAGCTTAAAAAAAACCTGGCACATTTATAATAGGATTATTTTTCTATGCATTTGAAAACCTTTTGATCAAATATAAAATATGTATAAAAGATGTCTAACACTCCAATACAGATTGCAATGTAACTGATATTTCAGAATAATGGCTCATTCTATGATGAAAAGAAAATTAACATACAAACAAAGCACAAGATTCCTTTAGCCCAATCATCTGCCTTCCAGAGCCATGCTGTGCTCTGAGCTACAATTCAGGCCAGATTGTACTTTCAGAAACACTTCCCCTTTTAGCTGGTGGTGTATCGTAGATATCAGCATAACACTGAGCTTTGAAATAATCTGCTGATGTCATCAACCTGCAGGAGAGAAGGAAGGCTCCTCCCTCAGTGCTCGTGACTAAGGCTATCTGTGTGGAAACAGGCTTCTGGTTGCTTAGGAATTCATTGGCTCTTGGCTGTGTGTTCCCCATTCTGAGTGAAGCCGTAACCTTCTGTCTGCCTGAGATATTATCATTCATCTTGAGAGTCACGGAGTGTCACGCTACATAAAAAGAGGTTCTTATTTGGAACACGTTTTAGAGATTCTTATCGAGTGAAGAAAGAACTGGAGTAACAGTTAAATGACTATCAGAAAAGCTTAATATTCATACACGTCAGCAGTCTCTCTGGCCACTTTTTTAACGTGGCTTTTTTTATCAGGATTTTTCATTTTTCCACATTACTAAAGTAATACATGCTCACTGTAACAAGGCAAGTAATTCAGAATTGTATATTTAATCGCACCTCCCCCTTCTCACTCCAACCCTGAAATAATCCATGTATGCCCCTGAGATAATTCATTTTAAAACCTGGTGTTCCGTTAATATGTTTATACAGTCTTAAGCAAGCACATATATATTATGTGTATATATAATAATCCCAGTTTTGTAGTACAACCTATTACAAATCTAAGATAACCTTATGTTGTTCTATAATTTGCTTTTTAACTTAACATTATTATGGACATCTTTCCAAGACAACATACACAGGCTGACTACATAGTTTTGAATGGTTGCATAGTACTTTATGGTATGAATATAAAGTAATTTATATAACAATTCCCTAGTTGATGAACAATCAGAGTCTTTACCAATTGTTTTCTGTAACAACAAATGGGTACATATTTCTCTCTATATTTATTATGGTTTTTATTTCTATGGGATATGATGCCTATATATGAGAGAGAAATGTCAAAGAAATCTCATTCTTACTTTTTAAAAAATGTTGCCCAATTAATTTCCCAAAAGACAGAGCCAATTGTGTTAGTGTGTCTTTTACCTAAAAACTTCAATAATACTGGATATTATCAACCTTTCTAAATACTGTCGAGCTAGTGGGTAAAAAAAAAAATCACATTTTTTAATTTGCACTTCTCTGTGACCAGTTTAAATTCAACTGTTATTTTGCTGTAGTTCTTATTAAAAGTTATAGCCATCATCTGTCAAGAGACAAGGTATTTGTTCTTTTCCTATACGACTTTTCAAAATCCTGAAGGGCACAAACCTTGTATATTATTTGCCTTGTGAACAACTGTGAAACTACAAATGCTAACTTAGCTAGGTGACCTAAACATTGCAATTCTGTTTTATGAATCAAATTGTGGATATTATCAGAATTAAACTACAGGATACTAATTTTTACTCATCTGAACTAAGCGTGAATCTTAATACCCAAGAGAAGTTGCCAATCCTCCAACCTAGCTATTGCAGTCAAATTAGCAAAACATTAACAGCCCAGAGAGCAACCAAAATCAATACAGATGATCACTAAAGGGTAAACTAAGAGTGACAATGGGGTTCCTTTGAACTGAAGGATAGACAGGCTTATTTGAGATGTTAATAATTAAGACCTGAATATCAAAAAAGAACCAAGCACATGTACACTTGGGAGAAGAGGGTACTAAAAAAGCATGGTCGAGGAATAGAAAGGACAATGTGTCTAAAAAACAGTCATTGTAGGAGAGAGTAGCAGGATGGACTGTAATGCTTGAGAGTGAAGCAGATTTGGGGATAGGAAGCAGGAATCAAGAGTCTTGTTCACACATGTGCAGTCTGAGGACTATTCTATAGCCAAGTACAAATGAGGATAAGCAACCCAAGAGGTGACTCCAGGGTCCACGAAAGGGCCAGGGCCAAAGAGAAGGATTCAGGAGACACTGGCATCAAGATGTCATTTAGAAGAGGGGAGGTACAGCTCAGTGTCAGAGCGCCAGTCTAGCATGCATGAGGTCCTGGGTTCAATCCCCAGTACCTCTACCAAAAATAAATAAGCCTAATTACCTCTCCCCCCCCCGAAAAACCCCCCAAAAACAAACAAAAAAAGTTAACCAAGATGCCATTTAGAGCCATTGCATTTTGTAAGATCCCCTGGGGTTATCTAGAGAAGTGAAAAAAAGTCAAAAAGTGCCTATACAGAGATATAAATCACAATCAAGCACCAAATGTTCTTCAAAAATACAATGGTATCATGCTATGATTTAAAGACAGAACTGAAAATTAGATATATCTAAAGTTTCAATAGGCATTATTTTAACAAACACTATACTGAGTTACTCATCAGGCAAAAACTTTATATTAAAATGCCAATAATAGCTCCTAACGTATTTTCGTGAGATATTCATGTGGGAGGTGGTGGCATTTTAAGTGAGTCATGTTTAAGATACACAAATACAAAACACTCTGGCCTGATCAGTAAACACACGTAACTATCTGTCACAAAGCCTTAGGTGATGCACACACCATGCTGGGTAATAAAAGAAGTTTTTAAAAAAGATTTGTTATGATAGACAGTAACTTAAAAACACATTTAAGGACTTTTATTCCCATGTCTGTGAGAAGGAGCACCTCCCTAAATTTTCCATCCCAGGTGCTTTTATTGCCTCACCCAGTTGCAGACCAGTTGACTCCATTTAATTAGTCTAAAAACCTGTGTTTCACTTCATTTATTCAAATGATTAAAACAATGAATGAACATATATCAATTAAAATGTTGACACCTAAAATAAAAAGTCCCAATTTAAGGTCTAAAGAAGCCTTGAAAATTTACAAATGCTATGACCCCACAGAAATGAAAGTAAACAGACCTCAACTAATTTTCATCTCATAATTTATCTGACATCATGTAATTGGCTCTTGGAGGATCACTTTTGAAAGTTAAGAAATAGGTCAACACCGTACATGATAAAAATCCAACTTGTACTTCATCTTCTGATCCCTTTACAAATTTGCTTCCTCTGTCTGGCAATGAAAGTAACAGGAAGAGTGACTTTATAATGAAATGGAAACAGATACACACACACAAAATCACTCAAAGATCAGTTTTGTTTTGAAGTCATTAAACAAGTACCAGGGATTTTCCAAGTAAGTAGCTGAAACTCTTAAAATGCTTGCTGGCTTGGAAAAAAGTATTTATATATTAAAAGTTGAATGTCTTGATCCATGAATAAGCAATTTTAGCAAATAATCTATTCCCATGATTTGTTAAATGTATTATTATAATAATGTACAGATATGTTATAAATATGGAATGTATAAAATCTTGATTAAATCTCAAATAATCAGTACATAAGACTTAGTAAGTAATGACTTAATTCTAAAGGAAAATATAACAAACTGAATAAATACAGCAATATAAAAAAATGAGTAAAACAAGATGGACTTATGAGAAATGCAGTTTGCTCAGTAACAAAACCAGATGACTTAAAACATCATTCACATTCCTCAGGTTCTGATTGGCTCATTCATATAATTATTTGTTTACAGAGAATTTGGCTTCCAATAACAGCTAAAAAGAACTTGTTTCAGAGTTGGGATAAAAACTGTACTAATTTAAAAAATTAAATATTTTAATTCCCAAAATACTATAATTTAAAGTCACATTTTCATATCATTTTAAGTTAAATAAATAAACTTCATGGTTTAAAAACTTAATTTCAAATTTCTGTCTCATACATGGCAACAAAATCAGGATAAATAAAAAACAGCAGTCTATACTTTGCATAAATCACTAAACGAAAACTTGAAAAGAGAGAAAATGTAGTGCTGTGTATTTATTCAGTCGTGGAAGAAACAGCTAGCACATTTTTAATGTCAGATGTGTTGCTATCTCATCATTAAACCTGGGCTAGATAAATAAATAAAACTAAAAGAAATGCAGCAAAGATTAAACAAATACACTCATTAGAAAGTAAAACAATGATCAAAGTAATAGAATTCACAGATAATTCAAGAGGAACGAGAGGCCGTAGATAGAAAAAGCCTATAAGGACAGAAAAAGAAAAAAAAAAATAACAACATAGAGGCACACTTACAATGAAGGCAATGTAATCGCTACTAAATTTGAGGTTTGAAACAAAGAGTCTTACTTACCTGAGGGAGGAACATACACAATACATAAAGCAAATAAGAACAAAAAAGAACTTGGCTTCCATTTCCAATGACTGCTCCACATTCGACTTGAGTGAAACATCCTGTCTTGGAAGAAAGCAACAATCAGGACACTTGACACTCACTGAAGTCTTAGGACAATGTAAATTGCAGGTTTCCAGCAGGGACGGGGAAAAATGAGTCTTTTCCAGTCTCGCTTCCAAATAAAAAGAGGAACTTTAAAAATGATAAAGTAACCATCTCTTATAAGCTAATTAGGCAAAAGAAAAAAAGTCCATGCATTTTATTTGCCACTTGGTGGCACTTTCCTTATCAGAGAATATATAATAGATGATTTCTACGTGAAGATGGGGAAGTATTCGGATTACTCAAGAAAAAATCATTTATTGAAAAATTAACCAATTTCAGCTTCAACCTTCAGCATCAACAGTCACATGCCTATGTGAGGCAAGAGGATGTTTTTTGTCAACTTCTTCTATTCCCCAGAAATTTAAGGAAATATTTTCATTGTATAATATCTCCTGCTTTACAAATGGAAATATTTAAAATAAAATTAAAGTGCCCAGATTTTCTTCTTTTCCCTAAAATTAAGTACTAAAGCACTAACATTCTAAAAAGATTAATTTCTTTGTATATAACAATAGCTATCAATGTTTTTAAATGGCTCATAAACACCAAGTAATATAGAAACTAATAAACGATATTAGATGGAGGGGTGGTGCTTTGAAAACTCTTAAACACTTTTCTGTACAATGGTCTCATCTTTCAACTGAAAATTATACTTAGTGATTCAGACGGGAACATCCGTATTATCTTGGCTTAAGACAGTGGCCTGATACCTCTCATTGACTCGGCCCTATCAAAAGAGGCAAGCCAGGGAAGGCAGCAGCCAGGTGTAAAAGTCAGTCACCCAAAGGGACCATAAACAGACTGGTGAGCAGAGAACCATGAGGCAGGGAGACAGTTAAGTAGCAGTAAGGAATTTCCAGATCTTAAAATCCCCAAAGGGAGTTACTTTGGTTGTAAGTGGTAACTGGGAGCCATTTTATTTCTAAAAAGAGGAGCAACTAATAAGACGCTTGAGGGGCCATAGCAGTACCTTCTCTACCTGAAGGTTGCTTACCTGGAGTAAAATGTGAAATACTAAACAGAAACCAGAAAATGGTCAGAGAAATACTTGAATAAGCAAAAACAGACATCAAACGGACTCTCGCACTGGCCTCAAGCCCACATCCTCACTCTGTCTTGACTGTCAGAGACCACTTACGCAGCCAAGAGACCACGCCCTAGAGTCAGACAGCCCTGGGTCTGCTGCTTATAAACTGCTGCAACCCTGGGAAGTTTACTCGACCACCTTGTGCCTCCTAGTTTTCACCTGTAAAATAGGAAGAGCAACAGAATCTAGTCCACAGAGTTGCTGGATGATTAAACCCAATTATGTCTAAGAAATGTGCCCAGTAAATATTAGCTGTTATTATTGTTACTATCCTCCCGAGCATTCTAATACAAGTGTGGTTACTCTGTCAACAGTGAAATCAAAAGAAAGGACTTAAACAGGAATGGACAATAGGATCAATGGTATAAACCAGCACCAATCTATTGACTCTGTGGCTCCTTCTGAGATCACCTCAGACCAGAAATGACATGGCCGTGAATACAGAAATGTCGACTAGTATCTGATACTCATGCCATGTTTTATATTCACCAAACTAGAAGTTCCAACATCAAGCAGCTCCTCATGGAAATTCTACACGAGAAAAAGGTTAAGATCTGAAGAGTATTTTTTGTATGGAAGGTATGTTGTCAAATACATCCATCCAAAATATCTGAAATTAAAAGCAGTGTTACTGCTTATGAGAAGGAAGACGTTATTGTGAGCTATGATAATGGACGTGAACTCTGCAACAACGCAGCTACATCCTGGTGCCTCTATTTACTGTGTGGTTTGAGGGGGAAGTACTTAAACTCTGAGACTGTTTTCTCTACTGCACACAGAACATCATCCACCCAAAAGAACTAGATGTTAACACTGCATGGAACTCAGTGAGGGCTTTTAAAAGGGTAGCCCATAAACTTTTGTCACATGGGAAGTTCACTCATTTGGAAGAATGGGTCCTTTTCCCATTGATGCTGGATGGATGAGGTGTTTTCCATTCATGCGAGGGTAGGATGAGTGTGCTTCTGAAACAACGGCACAATTATATATTCAAAGAAGCGTAGAGCTGGAAGGACCAAAGATGAAGTCTAAGCTCCTCATTTCACAGCGGAGGGAACTGAGGCCCAGAGAAATAAAGGGGCAGAACAACGAAACTTGGCCACCAGCCTTACAGATTTTAACTGAAGGAAGTACCCGCCCAGGAGAACGCTTAGCATCTTAATCTCTGTGGCACACGACAATCCTCCTTTACCAATATGTGAAGAGTAACCCCCTCTTAAGTCCACCCACTCTCCAAACAATACTCAGGGATTTACGTTCATTAGTTCGGCAACACTCGATACTGTTTATTTCATGTGCTCGTGTAGCTTTCTTTTGCTATAAAAGGTTCTGATATTGAGGGATTCCATATTCACTCCTGAAGCTGTTTGACAAAAGCTGCAAATGACAACCAAGGGCTTAAAACATTCCAGTGCTCAGGACTCCATCATACCGTACAGAAAAGGAACCCAGGACAGGGCAAGCACTTGTAACCAACATAAACCATATGACACACCAACTTTCATCCACTTTACTGTTTACTGAAGAGCAGAAACAAATAAATTAAGAATAGAACAGAGGAAGGAAAGCACTGTGTGTCTTTCTCAGGGGATCACTTAGCAAAGGCGCATCCCTGGGATTTAAACAACTTTCTCACAAGAACGGAAAATCCTGAACAGGGTTACTAAGGTTCTCAATAGGAACTATGAAAAACATAGTACAATTTTGTGTCACTTGGGTTGTGGCCTCAAAGTTCTTTTGAAGAGAACAAGAATATTTTAAGTAAAAGAGAGTCGTAGACATCTATAACCTGAAAAGAATTTAAAAGTTATGCAAAAAAACCTGTCATTTCACAGATGAAAAAAACTATGATGCTAAACCCCTGGCCCAAGATCACATAATCAGTGGTGGCAGAGCCAAAAGACCCCTGTGTCACCTGGCTTCCAACTCATTCATCCAAGCTACTTCTATTGCAAACCCACTCTCCTTTTCAATGTATACAGGCTACATGATACCATATACTTGAATTCTGTGTCAGAAAGCTTTAGAACTTAACCTTTTTATAGGAATTGTTTTAAATGTGGATATGACCCCTTGTAGATGTGATTTAATCCAAATGCATCACTGAAATCATCTAAAAAACCTACCATCTTCCATCTCTTTACTCCTACTGACTCTCTTAAAAGTCAGAATTAAATTTGTGAAGAAATTTTGAAATTGGTAGAGACATTAACATGGTACTAATTCTATTAATACCAGCAATAATTAGAGTTAATTTCATTCTCCATATCCCAACTGTATTTCTATGGCAAATTTTTTCATAAAGGGGCATGAGAAGTGGCACGGAGAATACTTAATTCTTTTAGAGTAAAAAGAATGGTAATTTGGTTCATTCAAGCCTGCTTATAACTGTGTTTCGTCTTCTAGATAAAGATCATATTCCTGAACCTAAGGAATGACTAATAAGAGAAAGCGCTCTTCTACTACTCAGTTTAAGTTCTTTTATTCAATTGGGTTCACCCCCACTCCAAAAAGGCTGGGCGGAAAGTTTTAATCTTCAAATCTGCACAAATCTTGACCCTGAGTTGAGCTATTATGTGCTTAACTGGCTTGTACCATAAATGAAATTAAAAAGCAACCTTGAGAAATACACACACACACACATATACACACACAACTACATGTAAAACTGGGAAAATCTGAAAAAGAGAGGTGTATTGTATCACTGTCTGGCTGTGATCTTGTACTACAGTTTCGCAAAATGTCACCAGTGGGAGAGACTGGGTAAAGGGTAGGTGGGATGTCGCTGTATTATTTCAATTAAAAAAGCCCTGATGTATGTATCTTACCTTCAGATGGTTCAGAAAAAGAACTCTGTGTGTGTGTGTGTGTGTGTGTGTGTGTGTAGAGATGGTGGAAGGGAGTAGAGAGAAGGAAAATGATAAAACAAATGAGGTAAATATTTACAATAAGTGATTCTGTGTAAAGAGTATACAGCTGTTCTTTGTATTATCCTTGCAACTTTTTGTAGGTTTAAAATTATTTTAAATAAAGTTAAATACACACATACATATTTACACTGAAGGGTATCAGTGTTTATCTTATGACACTCATCACTACTGAGTATTATTGCTTTAATCATTGCCAGTCTGATAAAAGAAATAGTGTCTCATTTGGATTTCCTTTATTTGGATTGGCATGTTCAAGTCATTTGTATAATTTTCCATTATAAATATTTTTGAAGTGACTTGTGATTTTTTTAAACCAATTCTATACAAATTTCTTAAGCCTTGGTCATATTTGCTATGAATATTTTCAATACCATAATTTTGAAATTTTCCTTAAGGTATTCCAAATAATTCTATCCTGAGTAATACTCATAAAGGAAAGTAAGATGACACTCAGGTAGCACACTAAAGTTTTACTGGCATTTTTAGTTACGACTGAAACGTTCTTTAAATGTTACTGCCCCGGTCACTCAGTGTGCTTCTTAATGATGTTCAATGTAGATAATGTAATAATGTCATCCAATCAGAAATGAAACGGAAAGATGCAGTTTTTGCCCAAGCCTGCCACACACACTGAACAGTCTTTTTCTATTTAGTCCAAAGTCTAAATAGTCTCAAGAAACTTGTGATCATCCCATCAGAAATGTAAACTCTATAAGATATGGGCAGTTAGAAAAATGGTCAGATTTAAAGAAGTGGTGTCAGTTTATTTTTAATATATAAACTGATTCTCTTTCAGATCATTATTTCCAGAAATCAGAGTGACGTATCCAGTTGGACAGTAAAACTACAAGCTTCTAATATTTCCCATAAGCCAAGAGACAATAGCCTCATTCACCATTCACATTGGAAAAGCACAATGTCATGTAATTTATATAAGCCATAAATGGAACAGTAGCTTCATGCAGCCTGAGACCGATTAATGCAAGTCTTACTAAATCTATTAAATTTCCTAGGGTATGAAAAATATGCAGTCACTACAACTCCAAAATATGTTTATAAATGTAACTCCAGAACTTGAGTGTAGCAATATATATTCTTTATCTACAAAGAATAAGCAAAAATTATAAATAGTTTATGTATTGAATCTATTAAAATTTAAATTTAAAAGACAATATGGTTATGTTTCCTATTTTAACATTTTACAACAAGATAGTAGGAATATTTACCTTGGAAAAGTTGGTATTATTTCCATATATTCTAATGTATTAATATCAGAAAAGAATCAGATCATCTTAAACTATTCCATGTGAATTATAAAAAGCAAAATAGAAAAAAGAAAGTTATAATCTGGTAAGAAATGGAAAAACTTTTGGTCAAAATAGCTCTATATAGAAACTTCTATCAGGGTACCAAACTATATTTTATGTGATTAAATAATCATGCTTTTACTCTATAATGACATAAAAATTTTTTAATCATATAAAATTCAACTGGCCTATATAACTTAATTTCATAATCAGGAAATTTTTACATTACTTGTTGATCAGTTTCACACCTTTTATTTTAAAACCTGGTACTCATATTTCTTTTATGCATTACATAGTTTTTGTTTTTTTCACCCCGTAAGATCTAATTACCTAGGAAAGCTGAAAAGAAGCTAGACAAATACCTGCTGTTAAAAACTCTACTCTATTTTCAGGAAAAATTGAGGTTTAAAACAAACTCACATTCATTCAATACGTGTTGCCTGTATATGAGAACACGTCTTATATGAGACTGTTGGCTATATCCCAAAATAAATTCTTTCAGGCTATACCTTGCTGATTCCACTGGCGTCAATGAAACTTTAAAACTCACAGGTGTGGAATTACTTCACATGCAGTTTAATAAAAATAAGTGGTTCCTCTCTAACTATACTGCTCACTACCAGTAACAGAGCTGCAAAGCGCGAGACTTCTGGGCGCTACCCTTTTACCTATTTCCAAAACGTGTGCTGGAGGGAGGGAAGCAGAGGGTGCAAGGAAAGGCAAGACCGGACTTGGGGGGGGGGGCATATCTTCTTCCACGTATTAAACTGAAAGAGGAAATTTCAGTGGAAATCAATAAGGATCCAGAAGTTGGGGGAGGGAAGGTGAATTTTAATTTCTAGAAACTCTTGTACATTAGTGGAATGGAGTAAAATGTCTGGCAGGGTGTCTGCCCAAGATTAAACAAAACCTCAGAGGGAAATTACATATTACAAGAAAAAGTAACTTCTGAGTTGGCCACAAAAATAAGCTTGGCCCTTTTGAGAATAATCTTCCTTTTTCCTTTCTGGAAGGCTAGACGGTGCTCTGCGGCCCTTCTGCGGGGTCGCCCTGAGGCACCTCGTCACTTAGATGGCAGTTCCATAGAAACAAAACTTACTAGGTTTCTCTCACCGTTTCACTGCCCTATACCCGCTGCTTCTACGTCTATACAAGTCCCTATCACGTAAAGTGACATCTTCCTTAGTTACTTTTTAATCAACAAAGTACACCGAGAACCTTTTCTGCGCGCTTAAAAAAAAAAAAATCAAATAACCCAAAGATCCAAGAATAACTTCTACAGTCAATGGTGACAATGTGTAAAGTCAACATTTTCTCGGCATACTAGTACCTTCCAAGCCCCCAGGTGCTGATCCAGGAGAGCGCCTTCTTGGCAGGGCCAGGCCCCTGGATGGAGCAGCCGCGCCTGTGACTCCTTGTTTAATCTGAATCGAAAATACGTTTTTCCCCATTCTTGAAGCCCTGCCCTTTTTTATTATGCTTTACGCCGCCCAAATGTGAGATTTACCTCTGGCTGGAAAAAAAAGTCAGCCGCACACACATGTCACAGTTCCGCCTGGCACCACCAGTTCACTCCTCGGTGCCTCGAGGGGGGCGAAGTGAAGACAAACCGGTTTATTCTGTCAACGCAGCTGAAGTCCTTACAAAATCAGTTCGTGGAGGGGGGTGGGGCGGGGGAGGGGGCGCAGGTAAAGGTGTGAAGGAATTCTGAGCTGAAGGGGGAGACTTACATGTCGGCATTACGGCGCTGACGTCCCCAGGGGCCGCACGATCATTCTCCAGCACCCTCCCCGGCTCTGCTGCTCCGAGTTCCCCAACGGAGCCCCCCTGGCGCCCGGGCCGAGCGCGGCGGCCAGACCTTCCTTCACGCTCTTTCTGGAGTGTTCATGGGGTTTCCCGGCGGCGGCTCCCCGCCCGGGCTCGGGGCGGCG